AAGAAAAAAAAAAAAAAAAAAAAAAATAGGCCAGCAGGTGGTGTGGAGGCTAGGTTCTGGGTCCTATCTGGCCAACTGAACAGTTTGAGCCTCAGACCTGGTGGCTTGAAAACGATGCCGGGCACATGTGTGTACATGCCCAAATCACAAGAGAAGAGAGGAGAAGAGATTGTGGTGTGGCCTTCCTCCCCAGAGGGTGATTTATCACTTTCCCTCTCTCTCTGTCACTCTCCTGTGAGCACAGGTGCCCCATAGCAAATTAAAAAAAAAATTTTAAACAATAAAATACAATGTACTTTTATTTATTTATTTATAATCACATTATTCCCTTATAGTAAATAGTAAGCACAGACGAGGAATTGCCAGTGTTCTGTCAAACAGAAGTATCTGCACAGCCATAGACCTCACTACTGAAAGCATGTTTGGTTTTTGTTGTTGTTTTTGGAGAGGTTTTTATTATAGGGCACATGCACTCACCAGAAATATAGAAAGTGAGAAATCACCCCCAGGGAGGATGGCCATGCTGCAATCCCTTCTCCTCCATTCTCCTCTCGGGATCTTGGGCACGCACGCACGCACACGTGCCTAGCATGAGTTTAAGCCACCAGGTCTGGGACTCGAACCGCAGTCAACTACATGGGAGTCCAGCAACATAGCCATTATGCCAACTGCTGGTCCCTACTGAAAGCATGTTATAGTCAGTTAAATCTTGCTAGATCATAATCACCACCACAGTGGTGATGAGCAGCCTTCCATTCTTCAATCTTACCCTCTAATTCTCTTTTCAAAACCCTCCCTTCAGGACTTCTGAACTCATTCACAATCTTTAGAGCTGCAGCAAATCTTAAAATCCATCTTGTCTATTCTCCCATTTTACTGACACCAGGGACAAGACAGAGATGTGTTTAACTTATGATTAGACAACTGGACAGTTAATAAATGGCAGAAACAGGCTAAGACCCCAATCTCTTTTAATAATTTCTTTTTTAAAAATTTTTTTAGAATTATTTTATTTAACTTTATTTATTATTATTATCATTATTATTTTTTCAGAGAGACAGAGAGAGAGAGGAAGCGAGAAAGCAAGCCACCAGGTCCCAGACTTGAACCGTGGTCGGCCATGTGGGAGTCCAGCGCCTTTAACCACCATGCCACTTGCCGGCCCCAAGACCCCAATCTCTTGAAGAATGTCTACAGCGGCAAGGCAGTGCTGGGAGCTCCACTACCTCGACCCAAAGAGGCTTGAGTCTGGGACTGAAATTAGACATGTATCCCCCAGACTGTATAATCAGGTCAAAGGGAAGGTCTCAGAGTGGGTTCAAAGGAGAGGCTGGGGAGGAGCGATGGGGAAGGCAGACCCTAGGATGGTAGGGGCAGGGAAGGGAGGCACTCCAGAAGAGGGGAAACGGTACTAAGGCACCAAAGTGCCCCTCTTTCTTCGCCTTGCCTTCCTCCCTCATTGCTAAGGGGCAGATACTCTTGGAGAAAGGTTCCCAGCAGCCTTCAGTTGCAGAGTGATGGGTTCTGGGAGAGAAAGCAGGGAGGGCTTCTAGGAGGACATGAGGTGCTCCATGAGGTGCTCCAAGAAGTGGGGGAAGAGCTGAAGGGGTGCTGCTCAGTTCTGCTCAGCTGAGACCCCCAAACCTCCCCTCATCTGGGAGTGGCTGGCTCTGAGGTTGAGCAGCAGGTGGCCTGCTCCCAGTTTCTGGGATTAGCCAGAGCAAGTGGCAAAGTCTGGCAGGAAAATGCAGCTAGAAGAAGCGTGGGCTGGGCACAGGGGTGGGCTGACCTGCTGCCCCTTTTCCCTTCTTAGTCCAGTACCCGGTGGAGGCCAGTCATACTCACTTTGCAGGGCTGGTGTGACAATTAAAGTAGCCAGAGGAGAGGCTGCCTGGAGAGCTCAGCTCGGTCCCTCGGGGTGGGCTCTCTATGGCTCTGCGCAGTCCATGGCTAACACTGGATCTGGATGGACATTCTGAGGGCAGGAGCAATGTCTCTGGGCTCCGACCCTGAGAGCCAGGGCAGCTGCTGTAGGGGATGTGAAGTGGAACTCGCAGGTGCCACGGTGAAAGTCTTCCCTAAGCTGTGTTTAGTCCTGGTCTTATGTGATGAGGTCTAGGTGGCCCAGAACGTCTGTTAGAACACCAGTTCTCACACCTGCCATGTAAGCGGTCAGAGCAACTTACTAGAGAGTTCTACATAGAGGGGGTGATATGTCTGAGTTTCGCACCTTCCTCTCTGCAGACGTTCTTGACGGGAAGCAAATGTAAAACCCACACCAGCTCCTTCCCACCCCACCCGCAGCTCCACATACCTTGTATCCACTGCATGTCAGGCCCGCATTTCTTTTCGCCAAGACACACTTCATTCGGAGAAAGAATGACCTCTCTATCTCGTACTCTGAAAGCAGGAACAAGGGGAGATTGGCAGCTGTCCCACAATGTCCCCATCTTTATCTCAGCAACATTGGTAAACTCCCAGGACCAGATCAAGCAGCCAGAGCCTCCTCTTGGGGGTTGGGGATGTGCCCAGACCTTGACCCAGAAGCCCCACCCCTGTCAGAGGTGGAGTGGCGAGGGGAAACCTGGCCCTGTCCAGAGGTGGCTTCCACGGCTCCAGAGACAGCCCTGGCAGGAAGCTTTAAAGCTTCCTCCAGCCAGCCTGGAGTCAGCAAAGCCAATAGAGCCCCCTGCCCTCGTCCCCTCCTGGGGGCCACAGAGCACTTTGGCACCAACTGTCTTGCTAGCCCTGGGGCAGTGCCTGAGCTGTCAGGAAGGCCCAGAAGCACCTGACGTCCCTCAGAGCAGCAGGTCCTGACTAGTCACAGCACAGCCTCTTTTCCTAGCAGAGGGAGACAGCCACGCCCCTTCCTGCCTGGCCCTCTCTGCTGTGCTACACAGCAACATGAGCTCTAGAGACCATGCTCCATCAGATCAAAGTTGTTGCCTTCATCCCCAGCCCTGGAAGGGCCACCTCTCTTCTCTGACTCTCCAAGGCTCACACCCTCCTCACTTCTTTCTCTGCCTGGGCCAAAGCATTTCCTTCTCAGGCCTCACAAATCTCTGACTGAGACTCCAAGGAAATACACCCTGCTTTAGTGAGGAGACCAGCACACGAGGGGCTCAAAGAGAGAAGAGCTCCCTTATCTATGGAAACAGCCATTTGGTGGAGGTCAGCAGATTAATCCTTAGGGTCACCCCATAGCACAGAGCTTAAACACTATGCATATAAAGCCGGATCCCATATGGCTGGCTATGGTTCAAATCCTGGCTCTGGCAGCTTGAAAAACACACTGTGTGTGCCTATGTGCCCAGGATCCTGATGAGATGGGGGAATGGAGGAAAGGGAACTGGGACACAACCACATCCCACTGGGCAGCAATCATTCTCTCCCTTTCTGTGTGTGCTGCCTCCTCAGGCATTAAAAAATAATAATAGTGGGGGGCCAGCAGGCGGAGTAGTGGTTAAGGCACTGGACTCTCAGGTGGCCACCTGCAGTTCGACTGGCTTGAAACTCGCACCAGGCACGAGTGCATGCATGCCCAAAATCCTGAAAGGAGAACGGAAAGGGACTGCAGTGTGGCCGTCCCTCCTGGGAGGGGGGTGATTTCTTACTTTCTGTCTCTCCAATAAGCACACATGTCCTATAGCAAAAACCTCTGAAAAAAAAAATGATAATAGGGCTGGCAGATGGCATGGTGATTAAGGTGTTGGACTCCCACATGGCTAACCATGGTTCAAGGCCTGGACCTGGCGGCTTGCTTTTTCACTTTTCCTTTCTCTCTCTCTATGTGTTTCTCTCTGGTCAAACTAAAAAATAATAATGATAAATAATAATTATTTTTAAAAATAAAACAAAACATAGCAATAATAAATTAATCTTTTTTCTTTCTTTTTTCTTTTTTGGTCATAGGGCACATGTGCTCACTTGAGAGAGACAGAGAGAGGGAAAGTGGGAGATCAGTCCCCAGGTGGGATGGCCACACTCCAATCCCTTATCCCCCATTCTCCTCTCAGGATTTTGGGCACACATGCACATGTACCCAGTATGATTTATTAAGCTACCAGGTCTAGGACTCAAACCATGGAGTCAGCCATGTGGGATCCAGCTGCTTTAACCTCCACACCACTTGCCAGCCCCTAAACTAACCTTTAGAGAAAGGTTACTACTAGGAACAGAAGGTTACAACTAGGAATAATCTGGCCTCTGTGAGGGCATTGCCCTGTAGAAGTTGGGGATTCACCTTGGAGGCCCTCCCTTCCCTATTGGAGAGGCTGCCATGTTACCCATGACCCCTCTGCAGCTGGGATCTGCGGATGTGAGTCTTCCCTTTTACATGGCTGCCTGCCTGAACCATTTCCAGATAAGCAGTGAGCTGTGGAAGCACAGGTCTAGAGAACATACCCTGATAATTAACTACGCAGTGTTGGGAGAGCCCTTTTCCCAGCCATTAGACAATGACACAGTTTAGACAGAGTATCTGCCAATGAGCAGTTGGGCAGAAATGGAGCTCTTGGGAAGCTTAAGCCCCGCACCCCTCAGCAGGCTGAGAGATAACTCAGAGAGTGGTCCCCATGCTTCCAACCCTGTTGCTTCTCCTTGACTATGATTCCAGCCCAACCAGAGTCCCATGGAAACAGGGATGAGAGGGTTTCATGATGTCCCCAGGTTCATTTTGCTTTCATTTTAGTTTCATTTTACTTTTTTTGCAAGCTTTCACATAGGAAAGGTAAAAGGAAACCAGGACCAATGGGAGACTATTCCCCTGATGTTTTAAAAACAATAACACCATGTCTGAAGAATTCTCTGAGACTCTCATCGTTACCAGCTTTAAACAACTCCACAGCGAGTCAGACTCAAGTATGGTGTTCGGTTCTGTCCCTTGTCATTAGCGATGGCTTCTTAGTCGTTATTCACATTAATTTATGCAGCTAGGCCATTACCAAGGACATCGGCATCACGCACCACAGCTACAGCAAAGTGCCCATTTCATCCCTATCTCCTGGGTGAGGAATGCCTAGGTTCACACAACTGTTTCTGGAGCTAGAGCTTGGGGCCACAGAACTGGGGCTGCAGGGGTTTTCCATGAACATGCTATCTGTATTCACTTTTCCTAGCCTTCCCAGGAGGGCGTAATAAGAATGAAACGCATTTTCTCAGGTGTGGGGGGGGCTCGATACCCCCTTCTCATCACTTCTCTAGTTTCTCCTTTTGCATTTTGCTCCACTTGGGTATTTTGGCCACACTGGGTCCCGTGGTCCAAAGCACACACAAAGCCCATGAGTCAACATGCCAGTTGGCCTCAGTAGACTCAGAGAGAGCTGAAAGGCCAGGGCTCCTGGAATAAGTGCTTCTGTATCTTCTTAGCACTCATCGCAACTGTAATTTAAGGAGTCATTTGAGTAACATGAAGGCTTCTTAAGTGATTTGTGCCATGACACAAAGATCTAACAAATCCCTGCTTGAAATAACATTTTTAAATGCATAAAATATGTAAAATTACAAAAGGAGCCGACTGGCTTGGAAAGTAGTAACCAAAATATTTAAACAGTGATATGGGTATAAATGTTCTGCTTTATTAATACATTAAATAACAGCATTTTAGTGAATAACTCCTGAAGTTCTAAAGTAGCAGTGAGTATAGACGATATGTTTAAATATCTGCAACAACTACCATGCGATATAAAAATAGCTGTGATTTCTGTTGCTGGCAAAGCCACAGGTCCTGGTGATCCAAAAAAGGTTTATTGTCTACAGTCACAAGCAAAGCAAATGCTAAATGCCAACTAGGGGAAATACAGACGTAATTTTCCCTACCTCATCTTACAGACCTCTGAGTTGTATCCTTGACCTCCTTAGTTAAAAGAAGCCCAGCCCTATGGAGCCAGCACGTGGCGTGGTGACTAAGGGCGCTGGATTCCACATGGCCAACCACAGATCTGGTGGCTTGCTTTCTCCCTTTCTCTCTCTTTCTGGTCAAATTAAAAAAATAATAACAGATGGAATTAAATAAACAAATAATTCTTGGAGAGGTGTTTTTTTGTTTTTTGTTTTTTGTTTCTGTTTTTTTTTTTTGCTGTAGGGTGTGTGTGCTCGTCAGACAGAGAGAGACAGAGAGACAGAAAGCGAGTAATCACCCTGCAGGGGGGATGGCCACGCCGCAATCCCTTCTCCTCCATTCTCCTCTCGGGATCTTGGGCACGCACGCACACGCGCCCAGCATGAGTTTAAGCCACCGGGTCCGGGACGCGAACCGCGGTTGACTACATGGGAGTCCAGCGACATAGCCATTATGCTAACTGCTGGTCCCAACAAATAATTCTTAAAAGAAGAAGAGAAGGAGAAGAAAAAAAGAAGAAGAAGAAGAAGAAGAAGAAGAAGAAGAAGAAGCAGAAGCAGCAGCAGCAGCAGCAGAAGCCACTGCCACTGCCCAGGCCTAGACTGATGACACTGCCATCCCTGGAGTTCTAAACCAAGAACCACGAGGGGAGTAGCTTGTGACCACTTTGCCTCCTACCTAGCACTGAACACTTTCTGGTGCATAACAAGGGCTCAGTGAATGCTGACTTAAAAGACGGAGGCTTAAAGCAAATTCCCACTCACTGGGTGCAGGGTTCTTGTTGGATAGACCTGGGCTGGGAAGCCCTTGTCATGTTCCTACCCCTTGCAGATGTGGGAAGCAAAGCCCTTGGTCACACATAAGAACATCATCTTGTTTCCTTCTCATTTCTTTCATCTGGAGATAATACCTTGCAACAGGTGATGGTGGAGAGGCTGATGGGCCGTGAGGACAGCGGTCATCTCGTCATGGTCAGAAGGATGGAAGTAGTCATAAA